TGCTACCTAATGAGCCTGGGGCTGCATAAAAGCCTGAGGGGAAGGCAGCCAGAGGAGAGCAGGAGGAAAGGGGAAAGGCAGGGAATGGAAGCAGCGCTCGCCTCCTGCCCGCAGATGGTGAAGGGTTATTTGTACATGGTGAAACGATGGTGGGAAGAAGCCTGAGAACAGAGTGCACCATTGGTTACAAAACCCAAGGTCTCAGAGTGATTTTGTGAGCTTAGCAGAGGCAGAAACAAAGGGGGCCCTGCTGCACCCTGCTACACCTTCCTTAGAGCTTCATTTACTCTTTTAGCAGCTGGTGCAGGGTTTCTGGGTTTTCCCCACATGGTGACTGCCAGCGATCAGAGTGATGCCTTGTCACGGAGTCACCGGGCGATGCTCTGGAACTACTCCATACGAAGCCAGGCAGGACGCTGGGGGAGCTTCCTCTCTGTGAGCAGACTGTCTCCAGGGCAAGAAGCTTACACAGCTTCGACCTTCCTGGGCCTGACCTCGGAGCATTCAGCATCCCCTTCTCACACCGTGCGCTTCCCACAGTGAGTCCGCGCAGGCGGGGCTCCCGGGGAAGCCAGAAGGCCCTGCACCCCAACTCCGCAGTCAGACGTGACTCGCAGCCAGCTGGTAAAACAGAAGGTTTATTAGACGACAGGAACACAGTCCAAAACAGAGCTTGTAGGTACAGAAACCTGACCCCTAAGTCAGGTCCATCTTGGGGTCAGGGAGGCCAGACCCTGGGTCTGGGCCTCCCTCTCTTTCCCCAGCCAGCTCCAAACTGAAACTGTCCAGCCCCTCTTCTGGCCTTTGTCTCTTTTCCAGGCCAGGAGGTCACCTGATCTCTTTGATCTCCAACACCTTCAATTGGCACCTTGCAGGGGAGGGGCCCAGGCCATCAGTTGCCAGGAGACAGGGTGTCAGCCATTCTCTGTGCAGACCCCTGCACACCCCTGCCCTCTAGGGCTCTGCAACAATCACACACCCTTATCCCCCCACCTAGATACTTAAGAAATGCGTAGGGGAAACTGAGGCACCCACCCAGTATTCAGAGAAAACATTATGGACATTCCCACTTCATCACATGCCTCTTGCTGCGCTCCTCTCTTTCGGAAGATCATTTGTCTGATGTTGAAGAAGGTAGGACTGATGACACACCGCTGCGGAGTGCTGGTTTTGTGTCTATCTACTGGCGCAGGCTTTCCCAGCTCTGAGCCGCATAGCTTTGCCTACATGTTCTTCCTTTTATACCCATGGTAGCCACTTCAGCCACCCTCTCTCTGTATCATAAACTCTCCCTCAGGCTGCTGAACTCCCATTTATAACAGCAGGGGCAGCCCCACCCTTCTTCTCACACCTAACTTGACTGGAACAGCCCCTTGACTGGAACAGGAGCTCTGAGCCCCCTTTCACTTAGAGTGACCAGACAGCAACTGTGAAAAATTGGGACAGGAGGTGGGGGGTAATAGGAGCCTATATAAGAAAAAGACCCAAAAATCGGGACTCTCCCTATAAAATCGGGACATCTGGTCACCCTATTTTCACTTAAGGGGCCAGCTAGCCTGTTGCACGTCCCCACGTCTCTCACACTCACTCACACGCACACCCCTCCTGTGTCCAGCGAGGTGTTTCTGACATTGTTCTGGTATCCCACAGACAGACAGTGAGGGCTCGTTTACACACCGTAAAAAGATTTCCAGTCCAATTCACAGGCAAATACGTGACCCTGTGGCCAGGCACGTCTGGACCTGTCCGATACTTTGGGTGAGATGAGTTTCTGTTCTCAGTACCTTCAGCTAATGTTATACAGCTAATACGCAGTGGTGTTGTTGCCCTGTGGCCCTGCAGAAGAGCGCAGTGTAGGCTTGGAAGCTTGTCTCTTCCACTGCCAGAGGCTGGTCCGATAGAAGGTATCCCCTCCCCCACCTTGTTTCCGTTATACAGAACAATCATAATGTCACACGTGTGTGGCTGAGGATGTACGCCAATGACACCCCCACTGGAGTATTTGGGCTCCTCACGTGACTCGTAGCCGCTGGAACCACTCTCCAGCACTGGCCCTCCGCTGCCTGCCTGTTCAGTTAGGCATGATCTAGGTAAGGTCCCTCCCAGCTGCAAGGTTGGGATCTGCGGGGCCCTAGGGCAGGTTGAAGCATGTAGGGCATGTCCCAGGCCACTTTGCCACCACAGCATCCCCCTAGGCAGCACCAGGCGGGTTCCATCGGTTAAAAGACTTACAAACGCACACACGCCTCTGGGCTGAGCCTGTTTGCGTTCTCAAGAAGGCTATAAAAAGGAGCTGAGAATGGCAGGCGTGCATGTGGGTGGGGGAAGTGTGAAGCAGGATCTCCACCTTAGCCTGAACTAGGACACTGCAGCCATGGCTGACATACGAGGAAAGGCTCTGTCTGCTCTTCTTGGGATGTTCAGACCATGCAGGGCCAAGGCAGGGCTGCGGGGGGACCCAGAACACAGAGGAGCCCAGGCTGGTCCACTGTACAAAGAGGGCCTCAGCCCCACACGTACAGTGCCTGCAAGCTTCTATGCCTGTTGGTATGAGACGACCCAGATCCATTGTCCAAACCTCCCGTGGAGGGGTGATGTGTGTCAGTCCCGGAGATGTATCAGAATCCATGCAGCCGCTCCTCCACCACACTGGGTCCTGCTGGGGACAGGAGGGAGGAATTCTTAGTGTCCCTGGCGGCCTTGGCTAGCGCATGGCCTACTGACCCGAGCACTGCGCTGCAGACAGCATCTGGGCCGACGGGGAAGGTGAGGTTCACTGAAGACACGATGCCTAAGACTCTGGGGTGTAGGGAATAATGGATGGTATGCCAAGGCTGCCTGCATTAGCAGGGACTGACTTCGATGAGCCAGGAGGTCCCTTCCCATCCTATGTCTCATGGTCCTGTCGCTATAAACTGTGACGAAGTGGGAATGTTCTTAATGTGTTCTTTGAATGCTGAGTGGGGAGTATTGACCTGGGAAGGTTGCAGGGGAGATTTGCTGGGACTGTCTGCATTGGGGGATGGGAGACTTTCCTTGAGGGAGGATACCTGAGCATGTAACAGGAGAACCCAGGAGGGGGGTTGGAGGCCAGGTAACACCTCTGCCGGGGAAACTGGACAAAGGCTGGGGGAGGACCCAGGGGGAGGCTGAATGAGACGGCTGGAGGGAGTTTCAGCTTGGAGCTGGCTGGGACAATGGAGGGGAGCCCAGATGGGCTCTGGCCTCCCAACGGGGCTCTGGACTCCCTTCTTCCCCCCCCCCCCCCCCCGCAAGATGGACCTAACTGGGGGGATCCTGTTGTCTGTACCTGCAAGACGTGTCTTGGACTGTGTTCCTGTCATCTAAATAAACCTTCTGTTTTACTGGCTGGCTGAGAGTCATGGTGAATCGCAGGAAGCCGGGGGTGTAGGGCCTTGTCTCCCCCCACACCCCGTGACATAAACCCTTGCAAGGAGTGGCCCATGCATACTGCAGCCCAAACGCATTCCCGGCTCCAGTACTTGCCTGGTAACTAATCTGAACTTTGCCGCGAACACTTCAACAGGAGCAAGAAACGGCCCCACGCCCCCAGCGACTGTCCCATCTGTGCCCCCCCCCAGCACAACCAACAGCCCCCCTGCACCCTCTTGAGTCTTCCTTCCTCTCTCAGCATTTATGGGGGCATGGCACCTTCTGGCCTCTGGGTGGCAGCAGCCTCCCTGCGCTGGGGGAGCCTGCTCTGGGTAAAGAAGCCCGAGCTGCTGAAGTTCCGCCAGGGATGAATTTGACCCAGAGCCGACAGCTGTTTGCAGGCTACAGGAGAGCCTGGTGCAGGAGTGTGTCTGTCACAGGAGAGCCGAGCGTTTATATAATAACATCCGGATACTCCCCCGCCAAACCGTTTGGTTCGTAACCTTTCCCTGAGCCCTGCGGCCTGTCGCCAGGCTCCTCTGACTGTACACTGCTCACCGGCTGTCCTGACCTCCTCCACCCTGCCTGGGAGTGGCGTGGAGTGTCTAGGGCCGCGGTTTTCGACGGGGGCTCCGCAGCCTGTGGCTGGTATTCCCAAAGGGCTCTGCACAGCCCTGCGAAACTTTTCAGGGGCTTGCAAATGAAGAAAGGTTGGAAACTGGTGCCCTAAGGGATAGTGGGCTTCCCTTTGGTTAAGGGTGCGGGGGAGGAATAGCTCAGTGGTTTGAGCATTGGTCTGCTAAACCCAGAATTGTGAGTTCGATTCTTAAGGGGGCCACTTAGGAATCTGGGGCAAAAATCAGTACTTGGTCCTGCTAGTGAAGGCAGGGGGCTGGACTCTTTGACCTTTTGGGGTCCCTTCCAGTTCTAGGAGATAGGTATATCTCCATATATTATTATTATAAGAGACTAGCCAGACACACAGAGAAACTTCTGCAGAAGCGGACAGGGCAGATAGCGGCTGCGCTGGCACCTACTGAGGCCCCGTTGGCTCCCCCCCGCCCCGGGGATGTCAGGGCATTGGGTGATAACGTGATGCCGCCCGGAGGCGCGCGTGCTGCTTGGGACCAGGCCGCAAACCTGAGGCTGGCTGGCTGGCTGGCTACCCTCTCCGGTTCCCTTAGGCGCTTCTCCGCCACCCATCACTGCAGTGTCTGGGCACTTCCCTGGTGCGTGATCTGCCCACTGTCCCGCTGCCAGGCTGGAGGAGCCCTCGGGCGAGCTAGAGCCTGGATGGCTGAACAGAAGGTGGCAGAGCCAGGGTGCAGCCCCCCCCCCGCCCCCAATTTGGGGGTCCCTCTTTGTGGGTGTGGCACGACCTGCCAAGGCAAGGCTGAGGGTGGGGCAGGGCTGGGATCTGGTTGGGGAAGGAGGGATTGGGGGGGAAGGGCCATGCGCTCACACAGGGGAGAGGACTGGAGCAAAGTTGGCCTCAGCAGAGAGCGCTCAGGGGTAGAGAGGAAGGGAAGTAAGAGCCGGGGAGCAGAAACTTCCTTGTTCTCGCTCTCTGGTGCCTTGCCCTGCACACTTCCTCTGGCCTCAGTCACTTCCTTCTGCACCGGGAGCGAGCAGCAACAGCGAGCAGCAGCGGCGGCCGCCCCCAGCCGAGAAGCACCCGGCTCACCGCGCACCCCCCGCCGCCCCGAGATATGAGCCACGGTGAGTCCTGCCTCCCCGCCGCTCCCCCCGGCCTTCTGCGAGAGGGGGGCGGGGCGCGCCCCCTTAGCCCGGCGGCCGCCGCCCCCCAGCTGTGCCGGGCGCCTCTGGGGGGTGGTCCCCCGGGGTGGGTGCTGGCAGCTGTGCAGTGCGCCTCTGGAGGGTCCCCCGGGGTGGGGGCTGATGCACTGTGCCCTCTGGAGGGTCCCCCGGGGTGGGGGCAGCTGTTCCGGGCGCCTCTGGAGGGCGGGTCCCCTCGGATCGGGGTGGAGAGCTGTGCAGTGCGCCTCTGGAGAGTGGGGGTCCCTCGGGGTGGGGAGTTGTGCAGTGCGCCTCTGGGGGGGTCCCCCGGCGTGGGGGCTGGCAGCTGTGCAGTGCGCCTCTGGGGCGGGGATCTCTCGGGGTGGGGAGCTGTGCAGTGCGCCTCTGGGGAGTGGGGGTCCCTCGGGGTGGGGAGCTGTGCAGTGCGCCTCTGGGGCGGGGATCCCTCGGGGTGGGGAGCTGTGCAGTGCGCCTCTGGGGCGGGGATCTCTCGGGGTGGGGGCAGCTGCTCTCTGTCCTCTGGAGGGCGGGTCCCCTCGGAGCGGGCTGGGTGCCGCTGGGTGGGGTGTGATGCGTGTCTGGCCAGGACGCTTCCCGGGACCAGGCTGCAGTCAGCAAAGCGGGAGCAGGAGAGAGCCTGGGGGCGAAGCGGGGGTCGGGCTGTGGGGCTGGAGTGACGGGGTGGGGGTGGGGGGAGGAGGAAGAGTTTTCACCAAAGGCGCCTGCAACTGACAACAGCTGCTGCTGGGTCTGTCTGTGAAGGAGGCTGGGCAGGGCTGAGATGGGCTGGGCGAGGCTGAGCCAGGCAGAGCCGGGCTGAGATGGGCTGTGCCATACGAGGCTGAGCTGGGCTGGGCGAGGCTGAGCTGGGCTGGGTCAGGCGAGGCTGAGCTGGGCTGGGCTGGGCTGTACCGGGAGAGGCTGAGATGAGCTGTGCCATACGAGGCTGAGATGGGCTGGGTGAGGCTGAGATGGGCAGAGCCGGGCTGGGCTGTGCCATGCCGTGCCGAGTGAGGCTGAGCTGGGCCGGGCTGGGCTGCACTCTGAAAAGGTGCAACTCCAATAGGAAAATGGTGAAGCTGCCAGCTCTGGGGTGCTCCCGTCTGTGCCACTGCCTCCTCCAGGGGAGCCGGGTGCATGCAGCCTGGGCAGACTGGCTGGCTCTGTTTTTTCTGGGAGAGAAGGTCTGTCCTGAGAACACAGCCTGCCCTGTGCCCTCCCCCACAAGCCTGGCACTCGCCTCCCTCCCCGGCCCTCTGCTCCTGCTTCCCAGCCCTCCTCTGAGCTAGGCTTGGCTTTGGCCCAGAACAAGTAGGAGTTTCCCTTGTGTCCCTTGTTGTTAGGTCAGTCTGAGCTGTGCTGCAGGGAGCTGGGCTGACTCATTCTGTGCCAGGCTAAACTGAGCCTGGCCCTGGGGTTCTCCATCTGAGCCGTTCCGTGCCAAGCTCAGCTGGGCTGGGCCCTTCTCGTGCTGAGATAGAGCCGGCAGCATGTTGCAGTCAGAAAGTCATCAGCGTTTGTTCTGTTTTGTTTAATCGGAAAGCTGTGGGCTCCTCCTTGGTGTCTCATTGTCTCGGGGAGGGGGTGTATTGGGTTGGATCACAGCCTGGGTTTTGTTCAGCGTGAGGGAGGGGAAGAGAAGATCCCCTCCCAGGGCTGGGAGTGGATTTTAGTCTTCATTTTCTCAGAGATCCGCTCTAGGGGTTATTGTGGGGAAGTTCCCTGGCCTGGGCTATACACATGGGTCCCTCTGGCCTTGGAGCCAATGACTCTGTGTCTATCCCCGCCCTACCGCTAGTGTCTTCGCCCTCACAATCCCAGGCGAGCTGAAACCATGTGAACTGGGCTGAGATGCCCTCTGCGGGCTCTGCTGCCTTTTCATTAGGTCACATCCTTTTGTGTGTTACTAAAAGGCTAAGAATGAACGTTTGCAGCCTCTCATTTTCTTAGGGATACAAGTGGGCATCAGACTGCAGTGACTCAGGCCTGAGCTAGCATGGACGGGGCTGCTAGCAAACAGTTTGAGCAGGGGCAGTTCCCAGATTATGCCTGAGCGGATGTATCCATAGGGTCAGATTTCCTGGGCTGACATCACCAGTGTCACTGGCTACCAGTGGTGGCGATTAGACCTGAAGTCAGGGAGGAGGGAGCTGGAAAGCTGAGCTCATCAGGATGGTGTGGGGGAGACGGCCCTGCCTGGAGAATGCAGACCTCCCTTAGAATGAGAAACAGCCTTAAATAGTGTAACAAAGCCAGGGCCACCCCAATTTCATGGTTGGCACCGTGCTATGCAGCATGGCTGCTTGGAACTTTGTGGCACCAGCATGGATAGACATGAGATTCCCCGGCTTCCAAAGCACAGATCCCTGCCTTTTTAGCTAAAGGAGAATCTCCATTAGCCATTTGCTGTATAGGGCACATGACACACGGTTTAGAAGTTCTGATTCTGTCCAGCAGAGGGCAATGATGTGCCTGCTCATATGCACACGCCATTGCATCACAATGTATTTAAGGCCTGTTGCATATTTTTCCAGACACACTAAGCCTTGTCAATTGTATTTTTGCACAATGCATTTTAAGTTGTTGATGCTGCAGAAGAAATAAACCGATTCCCAAGGACTTGGGTGAGTAATTGGCTTTTGACAGCTAGGTCACTGGTTCGAATCCAGCAGGGATCAAGCGGGATGGGTGAGAGTGGAGGGGTGGAGGTGAATCGGAGGAGAGCTGGAGTCAGGCAGGAGCGAAGAGATGAGAGGCGGTGGTTCACCTTGCCCAGTAGCCTGTCTCCGACGGTGCTAGAGCTTCAGGAGGAGCGAATGGAACAGAGCTGAAATAAGGTGGAGGCAGCTCAAGGAAAATGTGAGACCAGACCGTTCCCACCGAATGTGAGCATGTGCTCTAACCCCAGTGCAATCTCTCCTCGAAGTGGGGCGGTTTGTTGCGGTGACTGTTTGGTTGTTAAGGAAGTCGCTCACTGTCCAAGCGTCTGTGCAATACTATGGAATGAGGTTTCCCCTGGGTTCTCCTTGTTACTGTATGGTTACAATTATTTCATCTCTTTGGAGGGCACGGGAGGGCCCCCTCCCTTCCCTTCCTCGGGCAGCCAGGGGCCGGTGTGTCATAATTAGAAGTGTTCCAATGTATGAACAGCGTTGATTATCCTACTGATACTTCACACTTCAGAGCTGCTTTCTGTGTTCAAAGCCGTGCACACTCATGAGAATTAGTAGCAGAGGCTTCTCTGGTGTATGGAATGACCGTCCCACCTTGCATCCCAAGGAGTTTACAAACACAAATGAGTGAAACCTCCCGGCCCCCCAGGTGAGGAAGGGAGCTATTATCCCTCTGGCATTACTGGTTAAGAGTCTTTACATTGCTGTAATGTCTAGCAGCCCCGGTCAGGATGGGGGCCCCCTCGTGTGAAGACACAGACCCTGCCCCAAAACCAATGAGGAGTCCTTGTGGCACCTTAGAGACGAACAAATTTATTTGGGCATAAGCTTTCATGGGCTAGAACCCACTTCACTACTGTATGTTCCACTCCAAGCATCCGATGAAGTGGGTTTTAGCCCACGAAAGCTTATGCCCAAATAAATTTGTTCGTCTTTAAGGTGCCACAAGGACTCCTCGTTGTTTTTGCTGATACAGACTAACACGGCTACCCCTCTGGACCCGGCCCCAGTGCTGTCAACACTTAAGATCATGCTTAACTTGAAACATGGAAGTCCCATGGAACTACACATTTCACTAACGTGAAGCGGGCGGATAACTATTTGCAGGATTGGCCCTTATTAGTCTTAAAATAACGATTTAATTTTTAAAACATTTCAAATTGCTTTTATTTCTCTCGCTGTCCATATACATTTTCCTATTTTGTGCACAATTAACACTAGAATGTCATCGGTTTTAAACCCTTGACTTTGTCCCTCTGTCATGATATTCAAGCTCAGCCTTCTCTCTATTAACTTATTTCTAAGCCTGACCTTCCTTTTTTAGCTATTCTTGGCCTTTTCGGTGTCACTCTCCCCTTTGTTTAGTTTTGAACGCTGGCTGTGTCACTTTCTGTCTTTTTTTTATACTGAATTCTAGCCTGACAGAAGCTTGTCTCGCCTTTTTCTAAAGCTGAACCCTTTGCCTTCCGCTACTTTTTTTGGTTAACCCTTTGATTCTTTTAAACAAAAAAAATTTCACTCTTGCTAGTTAGATACTACAGTGATGGGCATTATACAAAACCTGATAGTAGACTGAAAGATAAAGCCGATGACAAATAGGATGTTAGTTCACAGATCTGTAGATTTTTAAGGCCAGAAGGGACCATTCTGATCAGCTAGTCTGACTTCCTGCATATCACAGGCCAGAGAAACTCACCCATTCCTGCTTTGTGCCCGATAAGGGGAGGGGGGGGGAGGGGAACTAGGGCAGATCTTTTAGAGAGGCATCCAGTCGCCACTGAGTTGCAGCTAAACGTGCTTGGAGGACTTTATCAAAGCAGACAGGAAGAAAGTGACGGGGTGGGTAGCTGTGAGACACACAGGCTGTAACGGTGATAGATTTGGTCATTAGCAATAGCTGGGGATGTGGAGACCAGAAGATCAATTCAGTGACATGGCTCTTGGGTCCACGTGTAGCAGATCTCAGGAGACCTTTAGAGAGGCTTCTGGCATGTGCAGGAAGGAGCCTATGTTACCAGTGACATAAGGAGATGTACGAGAGAGGTCCTGGAAGCTAGCTTTAGATTGCTGGGAAGACTGGTAGGTCTAGGGCAGGCATGGTAGCTGGGGAGGAAAGGTAACGAAAGGTAGCAGCTGATAAAAATAAATGAAGAAATTAGTCAAGAAGAGCCTATGTCCTCCAAGCCACAGCAGCATCCTTCCGAAAACGGAGCTTCTTTCTGTTGTCTGCATGCGGGCTGGAGCAGGTGGCGTGTTAGATGGGGGTTGGGAGGGCTAAGGTGGCGTTCA